CAGTAGGGCATCTTGCTGTGGCCACCAGTGACGAGGTGCAAGAAGCATTTTGACCTGTCGTTTCCCAGAAGTGAAGTCAGGGAAAGTGTGACCAGCTCAAGCTTCTCCATTCCATAGGAACTAGAAATACAAACTTACCTGGCGTCACATGTACACATAAGTGAAAGGCACTGGAGTATATCGATTAACTTTAACTTGATGACAGTTTTTCTTGGTTATTCAAATCTGCCAAGCCTCAAAGTAGATAAACCTTTAGAGCTGACATATGAGACTTGGAGAATGTCAGAGCTGAAAAGGATGTTAGAACACAGTCTGTTCATCTGTAGTCAGGTGGCCTCAAACTCAAATAGAAATGGGGACCAGTAAACTGTATATAAGAATCCCTGAAGGCTGCATATTGGCTTAGTTTTTACATTGTGATGTCTATGTTTTCTTCTGTTTTTATTTTGTTAAATATTTCCCAATGACATTTTAATCTGGCTTGGGCCTTACTCAGGAGTGTTATGGGGAGATGCAAGCCACATGTTTGACACCTCTTATCTCGTCTAACCCTCTTAATTTACAAATGAGGGGAATGGGGCAGAGAAGGAAAGCCAAAGGCTATTATTGGCAGTTAGAGCTAGAATCCATCTGAAAATGGTTTTCTGTCAGTCTTCATATGTAGCTCGCTAAGCTTCCAAAATGATGCTTTATACTCATGCCATGTACCTGACACCTCTAACAATGCCATATTCAGTGGTAAATTGTTCTGTTTGGTCTCGGAGGTCAGAATTAGGAACAATGGGCAGAAGCCACAAAGAAGCTAACAGGACTGTAAGTCAGGGGGGAAAGAAAACCACCACCTTCTCAACTGTCAGAATTGTCAAACAGTGAACTGAGCTGCCTCAGGAGCTGGTGGTAGAGGTTCCTCCTTCCCAGAGGCCTCTAAGCAGAGGCTGAATCATCACTCAGACATGCATGTTACGGTGGGGTTTTCCTTTTAGGGATGGGTTGGGCTAGACAGCTTCCAAGGGCCCTTTTCCAACTCTAAAATTCTGTGACCCAGTGGACGAAACACGTACAATGCAAGGCTCCGTTTACACCCTCCCTCTTCCTGTACTGTCGTGCTCTTGAACATCGTTTAGTAACTGAAATACATTCATGTGATGCGGCCTGTAAAATGCTGAGCCCACAGGGCAATCAGTGTATTCACTTGGTACATATCCCCTTTGGCGGCCCCAAAAACCCTGTGAGCTGGGCAGTGGCTAGGTATTTAAATGAGAAAACAGCATAGTGAGCTCAGTGATGCAATTTAAGATGTGTGCTTTATAAGGTCATTATTTTAATTACCATTAAAATAATTGGCACTGTGGCTATCAGAAGAATGTGAGAAGATTAGAGGCTCAAGGCTGTTCTTGCCCCAGCCTTGGAGGTATGAGCAGCTTTTAGTCTGTGTAATTAAAAGCTCCCATCTTTCATGTGTACAATAAAGGGGGCTGGGAGGTGGGCAGTCTAACTGTAACCCTTTTTGCATTTTAATGCATTTATAATGATCAATAGGCCCTATCCTTGAGTTGTGTCCTCTGGTCTCAGCATCTTCATGATTGCCATTTTACATCCACACTCCCAGGTTCTGTGGTGTACCTTATCTCTAGTATTATAGCTCAGTGCTTCACTGCAGTGTGAAGACAGGTTCTGTAAGGAAATGTCAATGCTTTCCCCTCTAAAATATTAAACGTTCTCCTAAAGTTCTTTGCTGAAACCTCATCCTTGTGTGCAGGTGACCCTGGGTTCTCAATGGCTCTGCCAAGATAAGAAGTCTTTGAATCAGTAGGGGCCCAGCCATGGACTATGCCTGCCATCTGGACCCCAATCTAACTAAAAGCAGATGAGAAACCTTCTTCTGGTGATGAACCTAACCAACAATGGGGTGTCCCCCCCCCAGTGGTGATCTGCAAAGATGGATAGAGTGCTCCACACTGAGAAAGTCATGAACCTTTTGAAGTTAAAAATATAGAATATGGAAATATATAATATGCCAAAATGTGTGTAGGCTTTTCTTCTGTATGAAAATGGGCTTAATAGCTTCACTTATCTCTCTTTATCTTGGGGGTATAGATACCACCTGCATGTACAGGTTCCTTCCCTCTATTTCAAACCTCAAATTAGCTGGATTTAATTATGGTTAAATCTCAACCCAGTAAAGCCTCACTTGTTCAGCAGTTGAGTAAATAGGAACAGAATGAAGGTCTTAGCTCAAGACTTTTGGAATGTCAATCTCCACTCTAATTATTTCAAAGGAAGCTTCCCTCCCATGGTAATGGACACAGTTCTCTTTCTTCTCTTTCAGTTGCGGGAACTGGTCAGCATGTGCATATATCCAGACCCTGACCAAAGACCCGACATTGGCTATGTACACCAGCTAGCCAAACAGATGCACATCTGGAATGCCAGCACTTGAATCCAGAAGAGATGCACACAACAAAGCCATCATCACTTAATCTTACTTGAATATTCTTTCTCCAAAGAAGCTGACTGGTGGCCCATGAGTGGAACAACTGAGAAGAGGCCCGGGTAATTCTGCAGGTTTTTGGTCCTGGCTTTAAAGTGAAGAGGCAGTGCAACCTTGGGGGTGGGAGTGGGGGGAGAAGCTTAGGACATTTACCATTCCTCTTCAAAGAGTCCTTTCTTTAAACAGTTGTGCATAATAAAGGCTAGTTCTGTTAATAAGGGTGTCTCAGGGAAATTTCCAATGAAGCACTCTTTGTATCTCAATTGTAATGTGAAATGCCAAAAATGAATTCCTTCATTGAATTGTCTTGTCAGTGTTTATACAAATGTAAGATTTGCCATGGACTGTTAATTTGTATAACTGCTAATAACCTTCTTTTGCAAATGGTTAATAGTACATTTAATTAAGTCTTTCATATCCTTTTTAAATGATCAAACTCTGTTTGGTGTTCTCTGTTGCAAAGTGGAAATGTGGGGAGTAGTAGTATTGGTTTGTTTGGTGGTTTTAAATTTTTTCATGGAAAAGTTGAGATTTTGCTAATATTTTATTGGTTTAGAACTCATTAAATAAGAAGTAGGAAAGAGTTCGAATTATAGTATGTTAGAGCTGGAAGGGACCTAAAGGATTGTCTAATCCAACTATTCATGTTACGGAAAAGGAAACTCAGGCCCATAAAGGAGAAGTGACTTGTTCAAGGTCACACTGCAAATTATATGATCAAGCCAGGACCAAAATCCACATTTCCTGGCTCCTAGCCTCGATCACTTCCTCTCTACCAGAAATTCAAGAAGCAAATTTTCACTAAAGATCATTTATTTTTCTCTCCAAAACTCATCTGCTTGAATGTAGCCAAGGTTTCCTCTCAATATTTTTGTTCCACCATTGTCAGCCTTAACAAATTCAAATATTTGTGCTGTTTTTACTCATATACAAATGCCAACCAAGACTGTGGACAGCATCATTCAAGAGAAATGTCCAACTCAGTTACGTACAGAAATGTTCTGCTTATCTTGTTTTCCCCAACAGGATTAGTCCAGGTCTAATTAACTGTGAAAATGAACTTATAAATGTGAACTCATGGTAAACATAATCTTTTGAAGGATGTGGATGGAATGTGTTTTTATACATAGACAAAACTGTCATTCCTGGGAGCTGGTGATGCTCCAGTGGGTCAGAGTGAAAAGGACTCCCTGGTTGGTGGGATTCCTGCTTGTCTGAAGTAGAGCTATGGCGAGGCACTCGAGCAGGACTTTGTGCTGTTTGGTATACTGCCTCAAACCCACCCCCAACTTGTGAAATTCTTTCTGTGGCCACAATGTCGGGTTTTGAGATTTTCTTCAAATGCAGTGTCTGCTTTGTTCTTAATATTTGTTCTCCAATACTGAAATAAAACTGGGGTAAAAGGGTTACACGTGTGTGTGTTTGAATAGAATGATACCTCTATAATGTCATTTAATCTAATTCCCTCAACATCTGACAAAAGAAGAAACTGTCCCAGAGACTTGGAGAGCTGAAGATATAGAATACTGGAGCTTGCCAGGACCTGGGGGGGTCTAGTCAAATTCTTCTGTTTTACAGATTAGGAAGGCATGTCAGACACGTGGCTAGGTGAATGGTAGAGGGGCCTAAATAAGTTCAAAGCATTATCTCAAACTTAGGCACTTGCAAAGGTCTCCATTTAGTTACTGACAATAAAAATCACCTTTAAGAATGACAATAGTAGGGGCAACTAGGTGGTGCAGTGTACAGAGCACCGGCCCTGGATTCAGGAGGACCTGAGTTCAAATTCGGCTTCAGACACCTAACACTTATTAGCTGGGTGACCCTGGGCAAGTCACTTAACCCCACTGCCTAACCCCCCCCCCAAAAAATAGTAAACAAACACAGTGGTGTAAAGGTTGCATATTCCAAGCTAAAGTCGGCCTCAGGTGGATATTTTTTTTTACTACTACTACTGCTGAAAACCAGGGAAATAGCTTGACCACAGGGAGTTGTGTTCACCTAGCTTGGCTATCTATCAAAAGAGAAAGGGACCAGTACTTACCTGCTATAAAATAACATAGGAACTTATTTTGAAAAAGTATTTAAGGGCCAGCTAAGTGGTACAGTGGATAGAGCATGGGCCCTGGAATCAGGAGGACTGGCTGTGTGACCCTAGACAAGTTACTTGCCTCTATTGCCTCCCTCTGCCTCCCCAACAAAGAAAAAGTATTTAAAGGTCCTTAACCTTATTTGAGAATTTGATCCAGATAGCAGATGCATAATATAGTAACTAGACATTATATATGACTTTAAATAGTAGCTCAGACACTTTAATAGGTATAAGACTTTGATAACTACCAGTCTCAGATGCCCCATCTATAAAATGAGGATACTACCTACCTAACAGGAAAACTGTAAACATTACAGAACTATAGAAATGTAAGCTGCTGTTACACTTTGAGAATATGCAACATCCTGTAAGGCAATTGAGATAATTAAACAAATAAACATAAAACGACACATCTGCCTTAGCTACATAATTACCATTTGTTTATTAGTGATGCATTTGTCTTACATGAGGTGACCTAGGGGCAACCCCAAACCTTCTTGATCAATGGAGCTGATGAGCAAGCCCTTTTAGGAAGTGTCCATAGTCTGCACTGTTTCATCCAGCACTTCAATTTCCAGGGAAGTGACTTTCTCAGTAAGAACAGCAGTTGTCCCTTTCTCACACTTGTACCTACCAAACCTATGGAGGACAAAAGAGAAAGGGGTAAAGGTGAGGCTTCACTGAACTCAGTTTTCAAATATAAGAGCTGAAAAGGACATCTGCACGTAGAATATTAGAAAAGAGATTGTTAGAGCTAGAAGAGACCCTAAAACAACTGGAAATTGGGCCAGAGATGCAGGGATTTTTCTCAAGATAAGATACAGTAAACTAGTTAAGTGGCAGGTCTGAGACGCAAACCCAGACTGAACTCCCAGCCCACAGTGATCTTTCTTCACTTCTGCTGCCTTAACTTCATGCAAGAAATTGAAAATGCTCTCATATACTCTTTTGGTTAACAAGGCATAAATTCACACATGGCACTTCGGGGAAGGGGGGAGTAGTAGCTGGAACCAATGGGTGAAAATTATGGAGATGCAGATTTCAAGTCAATATAATCACTGTCAAAGAATGGGATGGGCTGCTCTGTTATAAACTGAGTCCTGCACTGCTGGAGGCATCGGACCTAAATTATTCTGACTTGGGAAACAAGGCATCTGAGGAGCACTGTGCAGACAGTAAGGTACATATCTGTACAGTTAATCCTCGCACTGGGGGTGGGAATTAAGACACTGTCAAATGCCAATGCAAGCCAACTGCTCCTCCCATCTGTCCCCAATTGGGAGGTTCACTTCCATAAATATCAAGCCTCATTTGGGCTCACAGAAAGCAGCTGGCTAGAACAGGACATGCGCACCTCAAATATCTACCCTCCTTCTAACTGAAGACTTGTCCTGGAAGGAGGCAGAGGAAAGAGCTTTCATTCTCTTTAGCCATCTCTAGGTCTCTGCAGGGACCAAACCATGTAATCTCTAAAACCATAGCAAACTGCAAAAGAAGCTTTTTCTAAAATGTAAACAAACACTACAACTACATCATTTTGGTCTGGTAGGCTACCCTCTTGGCCAAAAGCTGGTTTGTACAAAACCTGAGGGTAGTCTACAATCACATAATCGACAATCATTTGGGGATATATCTGTCTATCAGGGAGATCTAGGCAATGTAAAATCAAGATATCAATAAAAGTCTATTAAAAAATAGGTCATCCAGTACAATCACTCATGTGACAGGTGAGAAAGTGGGGCCAGATGATCTGTACCAAGTCACGGAATTAGTGATAGGCAGAATTTGAACTCAGGTCCTGATTCTAAATCTAGGGCTTATCTATGCTCCTGCATCAGATCCCAAAGTACCCACACAGAAGAAATCACAGCAGATTCTTGTATTCCTCTGCAGACTGGTGTATTGGGAAGCTTATTGGGGGCTAGGAGTGAGATCTGGGTTCAAATTCTTGCTAGCTGTGAGAATGTGAGCAAGTCCAGTTTCTATGAGCCTTGCTTACAAAATGGAGGTGGCGATGATGCTTGTTCTAGATACTTTGTCAGCTCTGCTTCGAAAAAGACCTTTGTAGACTTTAAAGCATCACAGAAATATGCTTAATAACTATCATTTCCCTCTCATAGAGGAAAAAGAGGAAGCTGGATCTGATTTCTCTCTGAAGTTCCTCCCAGCTCTGAATCTTAAAGATCAGCCCATGTACCAAAAAAGTGCTCTGCACGGGACAGGCAATAAATGTGTGCTGTTGTTATTATACTATGATCTCATACTAGGAATCTATGTTCTCAAATCATTAGGAATACAAGGTAACCCCCATCCCATCACCAGGCTTGTTCTTGGGAGCCTGAATGAGGAAATGCCCTGATGCAATTTTCTAGTAGTGACAACATGACCACTTTGGAACAAAATCTTCACCACTGTGTGGATGAGGTACTCACTGTTGGCTCAGAAACTTAGGGTGGGGGGGGGAGCCTTTTTATCTCCTTGAGTTACAAAGCCTTTATTTTCAGCAACACATAAGGTAGTGGGTTTTTTTTTTACCTTGGGTAAATTAGCCTCAGAGCACTTAAAAACCACAGATTGCAGAACTCAATAGCTGAGGGAACTCTTAAGACTCAGATAAACCAATGCACATTTCTTCAATCAGTATCAACACTCATGAAGAGGGGAAGACAAACAAATGTGACTTTTGGACCCACTTAGCCTCATGCCCTGAAAATGTCTAGACTGCAGGCAAGGGCCCAGCCCAGACCTGTGACAAGTCCTTGGAAAGTTAGGATCTATACATCTCAACCCCTGTCACCAAGTTCATATCCTCAAGTCACATCTGTTACAGATGGAATGCTGGAATGCCTGTTCTGTTTTCCACTCTCCAGCCTCTCCTGCATGGGACTGACTGCTCTCCCTCTAGTTTTGAATACAAGTCATGAGACCCAAATCAAGTCCAGGCTCTGCCACAATGAGCTGAATGATTCTGGATCAGTATTTTCTTCCTCCAGACCTATTTTCTCATTGGTAAAATGAGGTCACCTTAGATAATTTCTAAGATTCTAAGGTCCCTTCCAGCTCTAATATTTCATGTTCTCCCACTTCCAGGTCTGATAATTTATGGGTTGAGGAAAACACTAAAGCTCAAAGGCCTTAGAAATCATCTAGTCCAATTCCTTTATTAAGCCCAAAGAGATGAAGCACCTTGCCAAAGTCAAACAATGATTTAGTGACCAAACTAGGCCCAGAATCTGTTTCTCTTTGACTGAGTGGTCTATTATTTTCATTGCTTCTTTAAATAAATAGTCCTTTCTTTTTTCCTGGATGCACAATTTAGTAACTGCTATTTCTAAGTATGTTTTGACACAAACTATCGGGGGGGGGGGCACACAGCCCACACAAAATCAGTACATGGTCAGGGCATCACAATACACAGGATAGCCATTGGCTGGTTAATGATAGTATGAGGTGCTTCTTGCCCTTAGTAATTCTATAACTAAGTACAAATGATACTTACTTCTCAATGACCACTGGACAAGTTCAGCACCTTGGTGAGTACCTCCCAAAAGACTATTATGTTTATCCATGTAGCCTTAAGCTGGGGTCACAAAACCCTCGACATCCAGAAAGAACACCTATCTCAGAAGCTCCTAAGGATCCTGTTCAAAGTTTAGTTATAAGACAGCTTCTGGAGCCACCAGAGCTAGAAAGGATGTAGGAATATGGACTACTTAAGTATAAAATACAGAATATTAACACTATGAGGATCTAGGAAAAATCATATAGTCCAAACTTTTGTATTTTAAAGAAATGAAAATTAAGGCCCTGAGAAGTCAAGTTATTTGAGCTAAGTTAAAATGTCATAGTGTCATTAAGCAACAGAAATTGGATCTCCTCGTGCTCTTTTCACTGAACTATACCATCTCCCACACTGTGGAAAATAAAGTCAACAAGCATTTATTAAACACTTATGATCTGTCTGGCACTGTGCTAAGCACTGAGGATACAAGGAAAAGCAAAAATATGGTCCCTGCCCTCAAAGAGCTCACACTTTAATGTGGGAAAGTTGAGTGATCATATAAATCAAAACCTAAATTCAACAGAGAAACCCACAAACAATTTAAAGAAGCCTTTATAAGGCAAATAATTCTCCTAACTCATCAGTCTTATAAGACAGGGCGTGATCTTAGTTTTCTTAATGCTAAGTGTACTTGTGCAGAAGAGGCACAGTAGTGGCCTGGACCCAAGACAAACTAGAAAAAACTGAAGCTAGTGTGACATAACAGAAAGAACCCTATGCTTAGAGTCAGAAGATGTGGCTGGGTTAAACTCCTAGATCCCTCACTTACTAGTTATGTATTAATGAATAAGTTACTTGCCCTCTCTGGGCCTATTTATCTGTAAAATGAGGGAGCTGGACTAGATGATGTGAGATCTTTCCAGCTCTTAACTTCTTGTGTTTTATGCTCTAACATTCTACACTCAGAGAACCTTTCCAGCTCCAACATCATATATTTTCCCAATCAACGTCCTCAATGTTCTTCCAGCTCATTCTGTGCTTAAACAAGCAAAAATCAGATTTGCTCACCTGCTTCCCTTCTTGTTGGGAATATCAAATGGACGGAGGAAGTCCAACTTGGACTTGCTGATAACACAGAGATCTATGTTACTCCCAGATCCTAAGTCATTGAAGATCCCAGCTGAGATGGCCTCACTTACTAGCTTCTTAGCTTCTTCCTCCTGAAAAAAAGAAATGTTTGCCATCATTGAATGCAAAACTGGCAATTTGTAATCTTGTGTTTTAATAACGAGAACAATAACACAAGAACTTGCCTTAAGGTTAATAAACCTGATGCAAAAATCAAAAGACAAACATAATACCAAGAAATCAACAGAAGACATGCTACTTTTATAACAGAAACTGCTGACAAAACCAATCATACACATTTTTAGTGGCTCCCTATTTATTGAGTAAAATGCAAACCTGTCATTCAAGGCTCACCAAAATCTGGTGCTATGCTATATTCCGGGATCTAATAAAACTCTCTTCCCCATCCTCTATGCTCCAATCAAACTGGATTACTCATCATACCACAATTATACTCAGTGCTGTCTTGCCTCTCTGTCTTTCCTATGCCAGGAACATCCTTCTCTTCCCCCTCCCCCTCTTTGCATGAAACATCCTTCCCTCAGACATCAAAGAGTATTTTGTTTTATACCTAATGTTCTTGCTAAGTGGTATTACATGGAAAAGTTATCTCTGTGTATAGCTCATCCCCTGACTTGGCTCTAAGTTCCACCAGGACAAGGATTACATTTTATTTAGACTTTATTTTCTCCAGTACCTAGCAATAGCTAGGATATAATAGCTAGCAACAGCGCTGTGCATGCAACAGATACTTAATGTTTGCTGAACTGAATTATGCTAAATTGCAAACTAGAAAGGCTCTCCACGTCCAATCCCACTCCCCTCAATGTCCCAAACAGATGCTTGATCATTATTGCGTCTTTTTTTTCAAGCTAAGTATTCCCTTTTCCTGTAAATCTGGTGCCACAAATTAGAAAGGACGCCATGGGATAGCGGACAGAACACTGGATTTGGAGCCAGAAGACATGAGTGTGGATCCCAGCTTAGAGGCTTACTATCTCTGTGACTACAGGCAAGTCCCTTAACCTCTCTGAGCCTCAGTTTCCTGATTGATAAAACCAGGGAGTTCAGTTAGATAATCTTTAAGATCACTTTCAGCTCTAAATCCTATAATCCTGTTTCCAGAAGAAGGTCATCAGAACCATAAGAAGATTTCAAACCATATCACATGAAGAATAGCTGAAGAGCATTTTAGCATGGAGAAGAGACACTCAGAAAGAGCACAATCACCTTCTTCAAATAGCTGGAGGACTGTCATGGCTTGGCCTCGGAGAATAGAACCAGGCTCAATGGTTCTGCAGAAGCTGCAAGAAGTAAAAGGCGGGAGTAGGGGTGGGAGGGTGGCTGGGTGGCATATCCTAGCAGTTCAAGCCCAGTGAAACGGGCCACTTTTAAATGAGTTTTGCATCACTAGGCAGAGGCTGAACGATCAACCAACCATCTATCATAGATATTACAAAGGGACAGATACATGGTTCAAGTCGATTTTCAATGTTCAGAAGGGGATCTAATTTACTTTGGATGACACAGCTAGTAAGTGACCATAAACTGGGCCATAAACTCAGGTTTTATCTGACTCTAGTTACATTACAGCCATATGGTATAGCCAAATCTAGCACAGTGGATTTTGGAATCACAGGCCTGGAGGTTTCAAATTCTCACTCAGCTGTGTGACCTTAGGCAGGTCACTTAACCCTCACATACCTCAACTTACTTCCCTACTAAAAGAAGGGCTTGGGCTACAAAATCTCTAAAGGTATTTCAAACTTCTAAGTCTTTGATCCTATGACTGCAAGTCAATTTTTTTTTCCTACAGTAGAAGGTTGTTTGCTTTTTTTTTAATTTCAGTATTGCTAAAAGTTTTAGAGATATATGCTATCAATTTCTCAATGTTCAAAATAAAAATGTGATGAGTACCACCTCCCAAATAAGTCCTTCTTTGGGGTGGGGAGCTGGGAGAAGTATAACAACTTTAGGGAGAAGGGAAAGAAGTCCAGGAGGAAAGCCAGTGATGAAATGTAGTAAGAGGATCTAAAAAGGTAAAGGCAAGGAGGTGAGAGCAGGCATGTATCTGAAGCCAAATGTGATAAGTCTGCTAAGTTATGTTAGTTCAGAATTTGGGCAAGAAACTGGGAAATCCAGTTTGGGGTTAGTTTCCAAAACTAACCTAACTCATAAAGTTAAATACATAAATCCTGACCATGTCATACCTCCAAACAAGGAAACCTGGTTTGGTCTGTTTCATCTTTGACCAGGAATAGAACATCCCTTCTAGCTCCAACATTTTCTGTTCCATATTCCAATTCTATGTTGTAAAGGTCCTTCTAATTCCAACATGCTACGTTCTAAAGTCTCTTCTGGCTCTCATAGTCTAAGTTCTAAGATTCTGTGTTCTAAGGTCCCTTCCATAGTCCTTTCCAATGGTCTGAGGGAAGCAGAAAATTCCTAGATCCAAATTCCAGTCCCATCACAAGAACTCACCTACCACATGAGATAAGAAGCAGTTAGAAGGCAGTCAGGACTAATATGCAGATATGAACATTTTGAAGAAGAACCTTCCCCACCCCCCCACTTTCTGTATTGGCTGCACCAAGCAATAACAACTTATTCCAGTGACATTAGCTCCCTCTACAGACTCAATGAAAGAGACACACAAAATTTAGTACCTGAGTGGCTTAAACCAAGCAACTCTGTGATAGTACAAGCCTATCTCAAGCTCAGAAATGTTTGTCACATTTATAAAAACCAGTGGATTCCACAATTTGCACTTCACAAAATGATGTCAAATTCTTAAAACCGCCCAATCTACATCTAACTCAGGCAGGGAAGAGTAGAAAAGGGTTTTCATGCACAATGTAGGGTTGAAATTTCTTATCTATAGCATTTCCAAACTTCTTTGGGAAATAAGCTGTAAGCAAATTGTAAGCTAATGAATGCTAGAATCCTTTGGAGCTATAGCATGATATAGCACAGATGTGCTGACAGCTGGGTTCCCATCTTTGTTCTGCTACCCAATAGTGGCAGAAGCTTAGAAAACTCATATAATTCTACTGGGCCTGTTTTCATTCTGAAAAATGAAAGAGTTAGACTAGGTGAGATGCTTGTGAAGCAATATGGTAGGCACTGATAACAGAAAGCAAATCTGCAGACGTGACTTTATTAACCATGTGACTGTAGAGAAGTCATTGAACCTCTCTAAACCTTTGTTTCATCTATAAAATTGGTGATTAACAGCTGGAGTTTGGGTTGTTATAAGGCTCAAAGGAGATAATTTATGTAAATGCATAAATTTTAAAGCTATGTAGGTACAGGTATCTATACCTACATCTCTAGGCACGTATGTAGGGCAGTTACCACTGTTGTGATTGTTGCTGTGTGTGCTTCTCACTCTAACACTCCAGGTTTGAGGGCTCTTCCAATTCTAGCATTCTGCATTTGCTTCCAGCTTTAACAATCTGATTCTATGACCTTCTGACACTACCTCAGTGGTGAAGGACACAAAGGGCACTAAAAACTGCAGTCATTCCAATCCTGTATTTACCAGTACTCTCTGCAGAGATGACAGGGTTTTTCTGAGAGGCAACCTGGAAGTGATGGTACTAGCAGGTACCCTGAAGAGGCCCAACTGGGTCATGACTATTATAGGGAAGAAACCAGAAAGATAGCCACTTTAAAAAAATAAAGCACTAGATGAAATAACCTCTATTTGGGGAGTGTAGACCTACAATGTTATTTATTAAAATGATTTAAAGAATTTGTTAAAATAAGTTAAACTAAAGCTTAAAATGCAAAACTCAAGCAATCTGGAGAGCCAGGTAAGTACTTGTGGCCTCAAACAACTACAGTGACTAATGGCAGAGACCTACCTGCTCCAGGGCTGAAGAAGTTGCTGACAACCTGCTTTACTGAGTCCAAATGAAGTGCCCCAATGTAATTAACTGTGTGAACTTGAACAAGTCACTTTTCCCTCAAAGCAACTGTAAAATGAGAAGGGCTAGCCCATATCAGATGATCTCTTAGGTCCCATGAAGCTGACATTCAATGATTCAAATTAGATAATATATGTGAAAACACTTTTTTAAACACAAAGCAGTTCTAGGTGCATCAATTATCATTCTACTGCCAACAGTCTTAATGTGACACAAGCCCTCCCAGAACTGCTGCTGGTTCAATGAGCTGCTCTACATGTCCCTCAAGTCAAGCCCCAAGGAAGAGGAACCATTTCTCCTCCTACTCCACTCCTCGCTAAAATGACAACTACTCCAAAGACGATCTTAGCATTCTCTAGATATGGAAAAGCACATGAGTAATAGGTTTCCTATTGTCACAGCCTAATTATGAAAGTGACCAAAAGATGGACGACAAGACACAGTATATGCCTTTTATTTTAATTCTACTATTTCTTAAGGAAAATTCGGAACTGTAGCAGGAGAGAATTATAGATGGTTCTCAACACATTGCTGATTAAATACCACCTGTCTTTATAAATATCTGACTACCCTGCTTCTGACAGCAATGATAATTTGCACATTGTTGTTTTTATTAGTACTATTTAACAAGTCTTCAATATATCAATGTGTAAAATATGGATATTTTCAATTCTTCAATAAAGATTGTTTTAACGATAATGGTCATTCTAAAGCACTTTCAGGTTTACATAGTACTTTCTTCGTAAAAACTCAAACATAGGGGGAATAAATATCCCCATTTTTAAAATGAGGAAAACTAAAGCTCGGAGAAGCGAAGTGACTTGCCCACAACCCCACAACTACTCACTGCTGGTGCTAGGATTCAAATCCAAATGTCCTGACTTCATGTCCAGCATGCTTTCCAATATACCACAGTGTTTCTCTTCGGTTAGTGCTTGATAAGAATATTCTTACGCCAAGAAACATATGTTCTTGACAATGTGCAAAATATATTTTCTCTAGGGATCAACAAAACATCTATTACCTTTAGCCTGCATTACCAAGGTTTTTGGCAAAATCATCAAGAAAAGCACCAAGGACTATGACCTCCAGAAGAAATCAATTGCACCCATAATACCATAGAAAAAAGGCATCCATATTGCTTTCAAAATTAATCCCTTGTG